GAATGTATAACATATAATTAATGACAATACAGTACAATTGTTGGTTAATAACACAATACAAGAGTGCCTGGTTTATCGATATTGTATCTTAATCATTATTTCTTTTTTATGACTTATCTGATGACTCCTACTTATTTGTTTTCCTCCTCTCACACCTTCACACTGTAACACCATCAACCAGCGCTGTCCTTTTGTGTTCTGCTTCGGATCAGTCAATAATGATTCAAATGCTTTTTTACAACAAAAACAGATGGAGCTGCTCAAGTTCGAAGGAGAGACGCTCACAGATGATGGCGGCATCGTTAGAAGAATAAAGGTCAAAGGGGAGGGATACACAAATCCCAATGACGGAGCAACTGTAGAAGGTAACAGCATTCTTTGCTTCAAAGGACAGATGTTGATATTGTGCCAGTTTTGCCAAATAAGACCAGCACATTAAACGGTTACATCAGAGGTGAAACTGTGTCGTGTGTCCCACAGTGCACCTGGAGGGGAGCTGTGATGGTCGACTGTTTGACTGCAGGGACGTCACCTTTGTTGTCGGTGAGGCTGAAGATAAAGGCATCCCTCTGGGAGTCGACCGAGCCATGGACAAGATGCAGAGAGGAGAGTGCTGTGTGCTTTACTTAAAACCAAAGTAAGTTGATTAAAAGAAATCGCGAAATGTGATCCCTTTGCTCTCTCATCGCACTTAAAGTGAGCCAGGTACAGTAGGAAGATTTCTGAGCCAGTAGACGTATTGATGGTGTTTTTAACATGTGACGGACGTGAAACTGGAAGAATACAAAAATGTCAGTGTGGTGAGTACACCTAGAAGAAGCAGAGGAAGATGTCCACTTGAAGAGATGATGAAATCAGAGAGCTTTTGGTGATAAGGGCGGACTCCGATGTGGATGAGTTGTAAGGAAAAATACTGCTTTCCACAGCCTCCCGCATGATCTCCCCAGACGCCACAACTTGTCTGAACGCTCTGGATATTTTCCTGTTGTTGTGAACACGTCTGAATCGGACCGCTGCCTGCTGTGTTCTTTATATGTTAAAGAAAAAATCTGGAGAATGTCTGTACTTGAATTATCAAGAGTGAAAGTACTTTAAACGAATAGAAACACCCTGTGTAATTGTTACTCAATATACAGTATATTATTATATATTTCAGTATTAGATTGGTAATATTGAGCAATGGGTGGATAGACATTTGGCAGTTGTGAATGATCTAAGCACTTGGAAAAACACAAACACGTAAAACAAATCTTTGGTTGTTTTCCCAGACCGCATCTTATTTTTTCTCTAATTAAAAAAACATTCAACTGAAATAACAAGGAGAGGAATTCAAATCCTAAGAAACTACAACGAGAAAAATAGTAGTGTCAAAACCACATCATTATTCCCTTAACCCCACCCACACCAAACCTCCCCTTCATGCCCTCAGGCCAAACAATACAAAGCAATGGTGATAAGTACCAGGAATTTAAAGCAGTTACAAACCATGCTGAGTGTTCATGCCAGCACGTAGTCAATGTACACAGAGACACATCTGACGGAGGAAGACCATAATCTCTATTCATCTAATGGGACAAACGTCTTCCAGGACGAGTTCTGCAGTGTAACTTTTATTTCTAAGAACTGACATACTCTTACTCTAATGTATCTTCTTGATTTCATACTATCAATGAATGGTACTTTTTGTCTTTTGCCTTAAAGATGGCCAGTGATTGTTTTCAGTCTCTTAGGTTGCACATGTTACAACTACATACTAGCTCTGCTCTGTATTAAAACCCATATGGTACAGATTCATCATGAATATATTTAAAAGTGTGTGTGTGTGTGCGTGCGCTTAAACCAACTGTTCTATTGTGTGATGAACCTCTTTCCAAGAACCTCTCCATTAAAGTGTGCGATGGTTCAAATTGATTTAATCTTTGTATGCAGTTTGACTGTTCCATATGTCGATCTGAAGTTTTAGGAAAACAATGTATGCTTGTTTCTAAATGTTCCTGTGTTTGTCGGTCTTGCTTCACAGGTATGGATTTGGAAGCGAAGGTAAATCAGAGTACAAAGTTGGACCAGACAAAGATATTGTTTACGAAGTTTCCCTCAAAGACTTTCAAAGGGTGAGTTCTCTTCCTACTCTTCATGGTTTGATTCATATATTATATACCATATATAATATTCAACATGTGTGTTATTTAGGGTAAACCTACCTCACACAAAAAACTGTGTCACTCACTTTGTGTGATTCTAACTTTGTTTCCTCAAGGCTAAAGAATCCTGGGAAATGGATTTGATTGAAAAGCTGGATTTGTCTTCTGGAGTAAAGCATAAAGGGAATCAGTATTTTAAGGTACGTTTCCCACATGGATCATTTATTAGCTGTGCCGTGTTTTTGTTGCTGTTTGTCTCTCAGGATTATGTCAAAACTACAGAACACATTTATTGAATCTTGGTAGAAGCCAAGAAAAAACCCCATTACATTTTGGCAGGAATCTGGACAAAGGGGCAAATATTTCTAATTTACTTTAACATTGTGAGATAGGATTTCAGGACTGATATTTATGATTTTGTGTAGTTTGGTGTGGATCCAAATAGAATCAGGATCTAGTGAATTTAAACATGGTTTCATAAGGGGACTGAGTCACTCTACTCTTCACAAAATGATTTTTCTCCTTGTTTACACTTTTCTAAGCTTCTGTTATCGTCCTCTATTAGGCTGGGAGGTACTTCCAGGCAGTCATCCAGTACCAGCGCATTGTTACCTGGCTGGAGATGGAGTGTGGTACTGGGATGGATCAGCAGAAGAAGATAAAAGAGGTTATTGTGACGGCCCACCTTAATTTAGCATTGTGTTTCCTGCGGATAAAGGAGTTCTCAGTAGTAGTGGAGAACTGCAACAAGGTGAGAGCAGCATGCGCCCTAATGATTGTCCACACAATGAAACCCTTCAGTTTCTTAAAAGTGTCTCTTCCCAGCTGCTCGTCTGCAGGTTTCCATAACCATCCCTGTGGGTGCTCTTGTGTTTGTGTTCATAAGGTGATTGAGATTGAAGAGCACAACGAGAAAGCTCTGTATCGTCGTGGGGAGGCACGTCTCCACCGCAATGAGTTCACCCACGCTTTGGCAGACTTTCAGCTGGTGCTTCAAGTCAACCCCTCGAATCGAGCAGCTCGTGCTCAAATTTCCATCTGTCAGAGCAAGATCAAGGAACATCACGAACAGGACAAGAAGACCTACGCTAACATGTTCCAGAAATTTGCTGAGCGGGACGCCAAGGTCTGTAAAGTCCCTTTTCTGTGTTTTGTTTTTTTTCTCTAAGTGAATTACAAATATTAACATTTATTTATTTTTTCAAGAAATAATTTTTTCTATCATACCAAAGTCATGCACACAGGACTGATGTAGTCACTTATTTCTGGCCTTTTTAGAAAGTGCTTCTGTTTTATTTCCCACCAAAACAGTTCTTATACTGTTTTATAATTTATTCGAATGAATCACTTTCTACAAATATCATGATCAAGGCCCATTGCATTATTTATCAGAATTAGAGTAAAACCATTTATGATGGTGGCCCTGAAGTGCAAATCACAGCAACAAAACATAACAACAACACAACTATTGTCTCTTCTGATTCGTTGTAGTGTTTTGTGATTTGTTGTTGTGTTTTTCCAGCTGGTTAAATGATGGTTTTTACATCTCTCAGTTAGATTTTGTGTATCATTGGGCTTTCTCTAGTAATACACTTCTGACCTCTAGTGGTGATTGACTTTGGTACTTGTGCCTGTCTGTTAAAAACGAAATTAAGAGTGAAAAGCCAACAACACATTTTACTAAAACTACTTACGGGTATGAACAACCTATCATATGTATATATTTCAGTTTTTTTAATTGATTTGACTGATGTCACACACTAATCGATCAATATGTTAAAGCTCCAGTGTGTAAGATTTAGGTGAAAGGGATCTATTGGCAGAAATTTAATGTAGAATAATCTTCATGATGTTTTCACTAGTTTGTTTCATCTAAATTGTATGAATTTGTAGTTTTCTACAGAAAAGACTCTTTATATTAAATACTTTATATTTACATGGAGGGGACCCTCTCTACGGAGGCCACCATGTTTTTTACATCAGTCCAGACTGAACAAACTAAACACCTTTTGAGTTTTTACGACAACTGAAGCTGCCACAGGTTCTTTTTCATGTTTGAATGGAGAGGGTGAGGTGAGGGGTGTTCAGCTGCAACATGCAACTTCAACACTAGACATCACAAAATTCTACACACTGAACCTTTAAGTGTATTCTCGTGAAGTTTCATGGGACGTGTGGGAGTCTTGGTTTCAGGAATGCTCATTACAATTTGTCTGAAACACTTGTCTTTAATACAGACCGGGAAACCGAAGAGGAGGCGGGATGAGAGCACGAGGAGCAGCATGAACGGAGAAGTGGGAATCAAACGACGGCGGAGTAGTCAGGACTGCCCGTCGTAGGAGTGACACTTGAAAGGGGGAAAAAGAAAGACAAGCCTCCTTTTGCTTTCCAAGCGCAGGCACCAGAGGCAAGGACAAGTCATATAAAAGCCTCTAATCCAAACCATTTTATCCCAAAATCCAGCGTCACCATTCCTGCATATATAACAGAGTGCAAGCAGGAACATTTCCAAGCCAAACAGTGTCTCTCCTGTCACATGGACTCTGCTACTGCCAGGACGCTCCTCCCTGTGGATTTAGTACAACAGAATCATTGAATAAAGATTTGGTGAACTCTTCTAGCCCGTTTAAGATACATAAGGTTTCTCCAAAAAGACAGAGGAGTTCCACTTCCCTTGTCATTGGGCTGTGTAGAGCTGAGACGTGCCTCCACAGTGTTTCTAATTCCAAAACTGCACTGTCAGACTTATATTTGCTATTAAGCCTTTTCCTGGGCAGCTGCATGCATTTGTCACAAGATGTTTGGGATTCAGACTTGAAACTTTGCAATTTTTTTTTTTTTATGTGCACTATGTACTTTGGATATAAGGTGTTAAGACATCCTGATAGCTCACTGATGTTTTAAAGGAAAACACAATCAATTCTAAGATGTAAGAAAAGTAAATGACCCTCAATATTTTGCTTTGACATTCAAACAAGCCTGAAATCATTAAATGATGGGAAATCCAGAAATAAGATAAATCAAGAATTTACAAACAGTGAAATCTCCTTCACACAATAACTGAAAAGTTCCTCCTCATGTTTCCAATCAGCAAACAACAGAAGCAGAGAGGAGAAACTGAAAAAGCACAAACTACAAATACTAATTCATAACACAATACAAATCTACAACGTGCATATTTACTGTGTTTAGTAAGCGACTACCTATAAAGGCAAAATAGTTTTTGAATGCCTATAACAGAACTGCTTTGATAGAAAGATTATTTCCAGAAACACAATTCGAATTTATCCATTTGTTTTTGGGGCAAGGACGAGGCATCGTTTTTGGTTTGAGTTAGACCATGGATGTGCATGTACTTAAGTCAATTATTCATGAATACATGCATGATGGGCCATTATTGATTTGTTGTAATGTTATATTTTGTCTTTAAAACACCGAAGGCAATATAAACAGTTTTCAAATAAAAGACCCGTCTGGTATTAACAGCAGATTATAGACATCTATGGGCATGATAACAGAGAAGCAAATCATAATCTCTATGGACTGATTTAAACCGGAGGCAGCTTTAACACCGTTTCATGAAACTGTCACTGTTAGTGATCAGTGACTCAAAGGTTTCTTCTTCTGTTGCACTCATCCTGCGCTGATCTATCGACTAACTGCACAGCAATGATTGTCAGCTCACACACACACTTTTAATCACACAAGTGAACGCATGCTGCATCACCTCTACTGTCAGAAAATGTATCATCAGATTCAAACTTACCTCAGAGAGAAGGCATTTGATCATAATATCAGCCCCGGCAGACGGGAGACGGACACACAAACCACAACTGAGCTTTAAAATCCTTAGAACCACAGTTTTCTTTCAGTCTTTCATGATTTTCTTTCAACTCTGGTAACGTGATCAACTCCATAATTTTACATTGGTGCTGTTCTTTTGTTTTTTTTTTGCCTCAGTCCCAGAAAAGGTGTCTCTTGATTTCACTGCATCTATTTTGTGTTTTTCATTTTTTTAATGTGTGAATGTCAGTGGATAGTGGACAGTGATGCACTTTGGTGACTGTAAAACCAACACTTATCTTTCATGAAAATGTCTGGATCAAATCCAGACAAAAATCTCAAGATGTTTTATAATGATCGGTTGGTTCAGAATGAAAACCTTAGCTGTCTTAAATATTTTTTGTAAAATGTTAACCGTGTGTATGTGTGTGTGTTTAATATATATTGTTGTATGTTGGCAAGGTTTTTAAACAGCTTGTTGCTAAATGTTTTCAAGTACTGCTGGCTCTGAACATTCAACCATTTTGTACAGTGGAAATGAGCATGAAGTACTTTTTTCCTTAGGCGATTACATAGAATATTTATCCCCCTCTGTCGACTGCAGATAGATTTACAGGCCTCTTACTGCTAATTTCATCACTTTGTAAATTTCAGGAATATTTTTGGGGAGCTTTGACAACAAAAAGCAGGATAACATGCAGGGTTAAACTGCAGCCTGACTGATGTGAGCTTGGTTTTATTAGAAAGTGAAGTGTTACTGTTTGTCATATCAAATGTTTTAAATATATTCAAAAGATCATTGCCCTGTACAGCAAAGTGTGATCATTGTTTTAAACCAGCATATATGCAAAAGAAATATTTTCAGACAAAAAAACACA